ATAGACCTCCATTATTTGAATGTCAGCAGACAGCAAGAAGCCTCCCAGATCTCCAGATGCATTTGAGATATCAAAAAAGTACTCCAGAGTGTTGTTCAGCATGGGGGTGAGTAGAAAATGAAGGCTAATCATGTTTTGGGTGTACTATTCCTTTAAGTGCCCCGTTTTGTTCCACGAACGTTCACCATATGAAGATAATAATGAACCCTGGACTGTCAAGGTATATCTATGTTCTCATGTTAGTCTTGTGCTATAAAAATATTCAGAATTGGAAAATCAATATATATATATATATATATATATATATATATATATATATATATATATATATATATATACACATACATACATATACAAACTATCTAGAAGTCTTTTTGACAAACATAAAAAAACTAATCTGAGTAAATATTTTTTTAAATCAGTGCATTTGAAAAATTTATTTGAAAGAGGAATTAATTAATGAACTAAAAATAACATAAAGGAGTCTTTTTTATCTCGCTTTAAATATTAGTCATCTTATTTCATTGTCAAATTTTATTTATTTCAGTGAGACCTACTTGCAGTAAATCTACCTGTACGCTGCAAATATTGCTGTGATTTGTATAAAAATCATGATATATGTGTTCTGAAAACTGATTAATAAAACAAGATCAAAAACACAAGTTGATTGAATCTAAGATTTTAAGACTTGATTTATGCTCTGAGCAGAAAAGTACCATGAATGAATGAATTTGCATTACTTTAAGCAGTAGGTAGCAGCAACATCTTAGATGTTCTTTGAGTGTTAAAATCTGAGAAGCATCACAGCTACATGTTGGAAAGATGGGAGCAATATGCAGACTTTCTTCTTTTAATAAAGCTCCTATTGTTTGAAGGGAGGAGGAAACTGAAAACAACGAAAAAAATGTCACATTGTTGAAAGGTGAAATACAAAAGAGTAAAATTTGGCTGAAAGAAAAGTAAAATGAAGAGAAAGCAGGAATCTAAAATCACTGAAAGGAGTCAGATAGAAAAGGCAAAGAGGGACTAACAAACAAAGAGCTTTTATTTTGCTATCAGTCATTCTCCCATTAAAATAACAAAGGACGGCCTTCCAAAAACATCCTGAACAAAAACCCAGACAATTCTGGTGTAGAAATGTTGTCTTATGAAGCAGTTTGTTTCTGCCTTTTTATTGGTGCCACTGACATTTTCTGTGAACTGATGCCTGCAGATAAACAGGATTACAAACGGAGAGAAAATGTCAGAAAGCTGCCAGTCAGTCAGGAACAGAGAGAGGCACATTCAGAGAAAAACAGAAGACGTTAGGCTGCCATGAGAAGCACGGCTCTGTCCCGGATAAGATCAAACCAATCCGGCCTACAGGAGGACATCCAGGATTCAAAAGTTACCAGGAGCAGAGAGGAGCCAGAATCAGCTCATTGAATCAGGGCAGAAATCAAAGGATTTATCTGTAGATTTTATGGAACCCAACAGTAACATAGGACCAGAACTTATGTAGCATTTTTCAATCTCTGTACTGAAATATAGATTTTTCTGGGGACTTTTTTTGTTTTGCTCCCTACATTTAAACACAACTATTTGTACTTTCTGCTACTTACTGTACATGAAGTAATAGCTGAATGAAGACAGGGAGGCTGGGTAAATTTGCACATGATGGCTCAGATGAAGACATCTTGCCTCCCTTAACCTTTACTGTACATGTTGACGATGTTTAAATTTCTATATTTAGTTGTACTTTCAGTTTTAATGCTGCTATAGGTTTAGACTGCTGGAGGACATAGGGATCCTTTTTCATCATTCTGTTTTATTTTCTGTTTATATAATGTATATAATAAACTAACTATCTAACGTTATGTTATGTTCTCTGTGCTTTTTCTCATCACAGTAGCTTAATCTGGCCTTGACTAACTGGATGTTCTCTCTTTTATTCTTTGACACGGACACTGACTCAAAGCTCATCTGTTTAACTGTTTCTTTCTTAGAAAATCAAAATCCCTTTAATTGCTCTTGTAACCTCAAAGTGTCGATGAGAAAAGGCAAAACAAACCCGGTGAGCCCAGCTGAGTCCAAAACCAGTGTCCTTTACCTGCTATCTTGGTGGTTATGCGGGTGGTGACCGGCGGCCCGAAGCCCTTGTTGGTGGACGCCTTCAGGGTGAAGAAGTAGGTGGTTCCAGGGTAGAGGCTGACGAACAGGTGATGGGTCTCGTTCCTCAGCTTGAAAACTCGTCCCCTCTGGGTGGTCAGGTCGGCGCTGGGATCCAGGGAACTCAGGGCCTTGTAGGTGATCTGGAGACAGACAGAAGGATTGTCTTATTCTAAAGCATTACTAATATCCTTTTTACACTCTGTGTGGGAACCAAACTCTCCATTTAAGAATATTTATCCTTATATAAAATTTCCTGGTCGAATTGTCTTCCTGCGCTGGCAGATTATTTCTCTATGAGAACTTGTTTTTGAAGATGGCATCAATCTCAAAACAAGGTCAAAGAAGCTACAGCTATGGTTCGATTTGTTAAATCGTCACTTTATTTGGTCAACCGCACAATATGTAACTTAAGCATCCAACATAACTTGACCTTGGATATAATTCGGATTATTTTTCTCTGAAGTTGAAATCCATGCTGAAAACAAAAGGCCACAATCACCGTTCATTGACAACCCGCCCCCCTCAGCTGCCACATCACAGCCGCCCAGAGAATCAATCCTGAGGTATTAAATCGTCCGTTAAATGTTGCAGGGATCAATTTGGTGGCGACGGCTATTTACAGCAGGTCAGTGTGTCTCATTGTGATCTCCACTCTGAAAACATAAAGCAGATTGAACACATTGACCCCGTCGGCCAAACCGTCACAAATGCTTTCAGCAGGAGTTTTTTAAAGAGCCGTCGATGTCTGTGGCAGCGACGCTTTCGGCCAGTTTCCACACATCAATGACTCCACACATCAGCTCAGACATGCGTGCGTGACGGGCAGAGGACAGCTGCTCAACGCCGCCGCTATTGACTGAGAGTCATTCAACACATTTCAGCAGTGGGCCTCTGGCTGTTTGGAAACGTCTCGGTATAAACCGAGCGACTAGGTGGGAGGAGGGGGAACGCCGCTCAGATGGACAACTATTTTTTTTAAATCCACTAAAGAAGCCTGAAATAATTACTATTAAAGTGGGATATGAGGGGGTGCAATGGCGTAAATACCGGCAAGCAGAGACAGCAGATGCTTCCCGGTTGTAATTGTTGTGTCGTTACGCCATTAGGGGGCTGTTACGCTAACACTGCATTCAGACATTTATCAGAGTGTTCTAAATGAACCTCATAGTTGAACCTCATTGAGGATGTCGAAACAATCTCTATCAGGATCTGATCCGTGCTTCACCTTTACTCCATCCTGTTTGGTCTAAGAGCTACACTGCAAATATTTCCTCAAAACAGAGTTTTTACTCTAAATTTGAGAACGTACATCAAATTATCTCTCAGTGGAACAAGTGTTTCTGACCCTAAAATAAAATAATTAGATGTTATGCAATGGAAATTAGATAATAGATGTTTATTGTGAGTCATATTATTCCACTGGTAACAATACGGCTAAAATTGAGGAAAAACATATTTTAAAAAAAGAGAAAAACTTATATGAGGTACATTAAATAAATCACAGCAAGCTGGCCCACAGTGAGGCTTCTGAGGATTATTCTTTCAGTGTTTTTTTAAATAATAATTATGATGTTTGCATAAATGTTTTATTTTATTTTTTTATTTATTTAGATAAATCCAGATGATATTAGCACTGGTGAGGATAAACTTAACTTTATTCTGTTTTATATAATCTCTCTAAATTCAGTCCAAGGTTTTAACAAAATAAAAAATCTAACAGGTCAGATGTTTTATGATAAATGTATAATACAGATTTTAACAGTATCAGGCCCTTAATTAACTCAGTGTCAGATTGACACCAACATAACTCTACCTCCTATACTTTAATTGTTAAGACTTCTCTAAAACAATAACTTAATTCTGGAATATTTGAGTTGGTAAATGGAAAACTTCTACCTGATTAGAACTGCACTTGGTATTGCACACAAAGAAACAACTGTGTTTATAATTTTCTGGAAGAAAAAAAAAACAAAACAAAATGGTCACAGAAATACCTTGAATCTGACAACAGTAATAAATGAAAATTCTATGAACTTGAACGAATTAAGTCAGACATTGTTTTTCACCCAGACTTCAACAGGTTAATCTAAAAAAATTAAACTCATGGAGCAGATCGGGACAATTATTATGGTTCCTTTAACTTAATATTAAGCTAAGGGAGCACAGGGTCTAATTACTTCCTTTTTGGTGTTTTTTTAAGTGTATGACCTTAAATTGTTAGGTTTTTTTTGTACATGACTAACGGGATACACGCCGGTTGAGGTAGTTTAAAGTCTATTTTTCATACAAAATTAAAGGGATAAGCGCAAATCTGACGTCTATGCATATTGACTATGGGTATGCTGATCTGACGAGGTATGCTGATCTGACAGAGTGCCGGCCATTGTCAGAGAAAGTGCAGCTAACATGACCATCCCAGCTTAGCAAACTGGTTTGCTGCATTTGAAGTGGTTTGCCGGTTAGTCTTCAATAAATTGAACATAGATATAATATTTGGCTGGTTTTGTTGATTGAATCACTTAGTGTTATTTTGAAAGTAATAAATATTGATATGGGAGTCAAATCAAATCAAGGTCAGCTATTTTGAGAATCAATTTGTATCGTTAGCTATGCATCAACAATTGAATCGGCTCACCCTACATGATACCCAGTCAGAGTAATGTGTATAGCACAATTCAGTGCAAAGACAAATCGCTTCACGTAAATTAAAAGATAAAATAGAACACGATAAAAGAAGCCAGTAAAAGAAATAAAACTGGAAGAGAAAAGGCAAAGGTTTGTCAAGTATGTCAATAACTCAGGATGGAAAAATGACACTGGCTGAAGAGAGTAGAGAACAGCAATGCTAGGAAGTTAAATCAGCGACAGCTAGCATTGACGAAGAAATTTGGAACTGAAACTGCAAACATTATAAAACATTACTAAAACATTAACTAAAACTTATGATAATCCTCTCGTTTAATGCTGTAGTTTTTTGTAAGTCTTCTTTTTTTCCCCCAGAGTGGGATGGTTTCAGTGTTTCTGCAGAGTTCCTTCCGTCAACATCCCTCTACAAGCTAGCACTTTCTGGTGTCAGGGGGCGCGGCTTAACTGAAGGCTCAAAGTGGAAAAGAAAATGCAGCAGAACACGAGAAAACCATCCTGTTTGTCCTTTTTTAGTAGCTATGTTTGAATATTCAATATTCTGTCTAGATCACAGCCCTGATAGTTGATCTAATTGCTCACATCACTCACCTGTCAAACCCTCCCCAGTCACTAATTATCATCATCTTATCCACCTGCTTCTTCTGCGGTTCAGCCCAGCTATCGGAGCCAGATCATTGATGTATGTTCGTTCATTAGTTTTAGTGTTTTCCAAGGTTAATGTTCCTGTTCTCGGAGGCCAGTGGTTAGAGGGGGTTATTTGTTTTCTCTTGGTGTGTGTCTGGGTGTGTGTCCTGGCTCTTCTCTGCTGAGCGTGCCCTGTTTCTGTTTTGACTTGGCAGGGGGGAGCTAGTTTAAAGCTTTGTAGTCCTGTTTCTTATCCTCTGAGTGCACCCTGATCCTGTTTTGGCTCAGTGGGGGAGGCAGTTTAAAGTTCCAAGGTTTTCCTCATACGTCTTGTTCTGCCCCATGTCTGCATCCGAACGTGTCTGCTTGAACTTCCTGTTTGAGTCTTGGAATCCTGAACCTGCCAAAACTCTCTGTGGACTCCTGGAACAAATTTTTGGTTCTGATCGGAAACCCTGACCAGGCTACGGACTCCTGCCTGCTCACTGGGGTTGCTGCATCGGGGCCACTGTGGGCGGCTCTGCATCTCGTTGGCAGTGCATCAGCTGGATCCTGCCTCACCCTTGAGAATGGACTGAACTGTTAAACCAGGTAAGCTCACATGGATAATCATCTTCCACCTGATTATTGTGGTCACTTACCTGTGTTTCTCTCTCAACCAGAGTGCCAGAGGTGGGTGGTACCCTGCCTCCCCCCACAGCCGCTGTGCATCTGCACATCTACAGCTCTGTGCATTTGTTCTGTTTATTTTCATTAAACATTTTGAAACTTCTTACTGTCTGTCTCGCCTCAATACTGGGTACTACGTACATTCTGGAGTTCATGACATATTCACCTTTTTAGTGTTTTACCTTTTTGTGCTATTTTTTAATGTCAATGCAAGCTGTCACTGCTTTAGCTCCATACAATTCGGATAATTTACTGTTGTTTTTTAATGTAACTTAGTGTACATTGAATGAGGATTACAGATATGATCTAACTCCATTATTGTTGCAAAAGGTTAAGAGAAAGACAGGATGATGCAGAGAAAGCTTGAAAGAGCAAAAGGAAAAGTGTCGAAGGATGTGCAGGACGCCAACAGCTCCAGGCTGGAAATATGTGTGTGGGTGTTTGGTGGAGGGAGGCAGCAGGACGGCCGTCTCTTCACACTCTGGGACGTCTGACGGGCCCCTTGTCACTGTGTTAACAGAGCCCGGTCCAAAACTGCGACAGCTGGCTACCTCGCTTAAGCCGAGCCTGCAGGCTGAGAGGGCGACGTGTGAACGTGTGACTGTTTGCATGAATGTGAGGCAGAACAGAAAGACCCGGACAGGAGAGCTGCTGGAAAGACAAGCTACAAACACTGAATAAGAGGGTCGTACGTCGCAGTCCCTAGGGGTCCAAAGGATTGGAAAAACGGAGCAGTTCACAGAGATTTCACCTTTTTTTTCTACATTTCTTTAAATGATAAACCTATGTAATGTTTACACGTTTAAAATGTTTCCAGTTGGTTTTTGTTTAGTTAACAATTCCTACTAAGCATAAAAAAACCACCAAACAGCATCTGCAACTGAAGTTTAGGTTTGTGGAATGTCAGAAGTTTCACGAAATGCACCAAAAAGATGCAAAATTTATTCAAACTGAGCAAACAACACATTTATGAAGCATGATTGTGGTTTCTATAGAGCTTTCATAAATATTTGTTGGTTCGCTTCTATTGTCTTTCAGGACTGAATTAATAACCAGAAGTGGGTGGAAGTATAAAGCAACCATCCCTGAAAAAACGTATTTGGGGAAAAAGGCTTTTCAGAAAACGGAGTAACTGATCAAAACGTGATTTAAAAATAATGTTCACGCCGCACGCAATGTAAAGACTAATTTAGTACAAAGA